GTCTCTTAAACTAATATATTATCCTCACATTTCCTCGTTTCAGTTGTCTCCCTTCCCCACCCGGTGTTCATAAAGCACCTTTTACTCCCTCCAGTATTTGCAAAGGACTGCAGATGAATTACAAAGAAGAAAATTTAGAGCCTTACGTAGTTTATAAAAGAGAATTGTTTATATGCAGGGTGCTCAGTAAAATGAGACTAAAAAAAAATAAAGGTCTGGGACCATAAAAGTCAAACATGACAGTCTACAAAATACTACGAAACCCTGGTTTTTTCAAAGCAGCGCTACAGGTCTTTTCATTGTGCACTTAATGGCTCTTAAAAGAGCCTTTGGGTCTGCGTGGCTGCCAGGCTGTGGTTCTTTTGAGAGCCACCAACTTTTTATTTGCAGATTACTCGCTTGTGTTTTCTGTCAGTTAACTTTTCAGTCCTCTATGTCTTTCTAGGTCTTTTAAGTTCCACTTGTATATCCTTTGGAAACAATTTTTCCCTCTGCAATTGCAGTTTTTCGTATATTTCTGGGGGCCCGACGCTGCAAAACGTGAAGTGACCGAAATTTCAAAAAACACCGTAATAGGACAGCAGGGCCTAAGAAATCGCTTTATATGAATGCAATTTTGTTCTGAAGACATTAAACAATTATTAGGATCCTTAGAACAATAAAACTAAATACTAGCAAACAGCTTTATTAATCATTTAAGGCATATATTTAATAGATCTTTTTTTCCCCAGATTGGAAAGACCAACGAAATATAGGACAACAACAAAAAATAGCTATATTGGCATGCATATGTCTTTGAAAACATGTCCATGGTATGAGACAGGGAGAAGGGACTGACCAGGGCTGAAAATAGACTGAGTTGGGGAGAGAACGTACTTTTAACAGCAAGCAGGATGTGGATGGCACAGCCGGGGTACCTTACAAAGAGCTGGTAATTGAAGCAGCCTACGCACAACAGGTAGGGTAAACCTTGCCAGAGAGAGCAGACAAGATACAAGTGTAAACAGCACTAATAGGATCTAGATGCAGTTTCTGTTAATACTGACCTGTTTAAATCGTTGGGATCGAACACTGATCACTAGGCAAATCAGACAACACTACAAGTAAAATTACAACAGAAGTGTAGAAATTAAAGCCCTTTTCTTGAAAAGATGGGTGGCTCTTAAAAGAGCCTTTGGGTTATACAGTATTTCTAGCAGCTATTTACTTGGAGCTGGTGTACTTGGTGACAGCCTTGGTGCCCTCGGAGACGGCGTGCTTGGCCAGCTCGCCAGGCAGCAGCAGCCGCACGGCCGTCTGGATCTCCCGCGACGTGATGGTGGAGCGCTTGTTGTAGTGCGCCAGGCGCGAGGCCTCGCCGGCGATGCGCTCGAAGATGTCGTT